CGAGGTTTAAAATGCATTTTAAAAAACTTACCCCTGCGAGAGGCAATTACTCGAATCGCTCCACTACGGTCCATTATTTCACATTTATTCTTGTCGGATTTCGAAGTAAATCCTTTATCCAGCACCTTCACAAGAGAAAACAGATTTATTTTAAAGTCTGGAAGAAATACCACATCATGAATTTCCGTTTTTAGCCATTCTTTTCCTGTAAACGCTTTTGTTCAACCTTTCCAGTTCCTACACTTTGCACTACCGAACTGTCACCCATTTCCACAAGTTTTCTTACCGATGTGTCCAAGCTCACAAATTGATTTTTGTCAAAACATATGTGATCACTCGCGCCACTATCTAAACACCAGTCTTGAGTTGCAAAGTCCGAGATCCCCATCAATGTCGTTATCATCTTGTCACTTAGTTCTTCACCGAGCTGTTTTAAATTTCCTTTAATCTCTTCTAACTGAGACACGAATTCTGCCACATTACCTTCCTTATACGTTAACGCAAAAAACTTTTGTTGAAGTAAATGTACGCTAACTTGTGACTTGTGTTCATATACAGATTGTAATTTCTCCCACATCTGGGCAGCTGTTGCACACGATAAAATGTGGGTTAGAGGTTTCTCTTCCATCCGAACTACCAAAATTTCCTGCGCCTTGGCGTCTTTCTTACTCCACTCATTGTTATTATCTGCTTCAGGTTTCGGAGTACTTCCCGTTGCGATATCATGCAGTCCCTTTGACTTTAACATGATGGTCGTTTGAAACTTCCATATAGTCCAATTTTCCCCGGTGAACTTGATGCACCTGTATCTTTCTCCATCCCAACCGTGTGTGTTTCCGTTTTTTCTAATTTATCGATGTCTCTCCCGCCAAAAACGTCCCGCAACTGGCTGACGTGAATTTGGGGTTATGTTATTACACTTTCTTCTTAAAACAACGATAAATATAGCCTGTCTGGGCCCATAACCTGTGAAATCCAATTGAAAAAAGGGCGATCACCACACACGTATAATGAATAATAATGAGTGAATACTTAATTAAACAAAAAATAAACTTTTACATTCTTGACACACTATATTCTATGGTAATGTTACTGGCTAACTGCTGCCAACTTCCTAACTACTAACAACACTAAACTAATAATTTCATTGTAGTTCACAATAATGTCAACTGTGTCTTCATGCATGCCATTGTAGACAGATTCCAACTAAAAATATAAATTGAAAATAGAATACAATAATACTTAATAAGTTATAGGGTGTAACTGTTGACTTGGGCCAAAGACAAATTGAACGATAGATGAGACCAAAACAAACATTTGTTCAAACACTGAAACCGAAAAAAAAAACGAAAATGTGACCTGAGTGTGTGTTAGCTCCGGCCGTTTTCTATCCTCGTTTTATTTCACTCAACTGTTAGATCCTACATAATATAATAAAAGAAATAGTGCTAAAATTTTCGTACCAAACTTTGAGTTGGGTCAGGTATTGTATAATTTGATAAAGCGGGTTTATTAAAATCATATTTTTCCTTGTAGTACTTTTTAAACACAAGACGTGGGCCACTTTTTCGAAATAATAGTTTTATTATTTCCATTTTCCGTTTTAAATCGTAAACATTTTGACCACCCCGGTTTCACAGTACGGTAGTCTTTAATGTAAACCGTCTCCCCCACCTCAAACTGCAACATACGTTTGCCATGATGGTACTTAATTTGTCTCTCCCTGTCCTTAATGACATCGGAAGTCGTTAAAAAATCCAAACGTGTTTTCACTTTCCTCGAAAACATTAATTTGGAAGAGGATTGACCCATTGAGCAATGAGGAGTATTACGGTAAGAAAAAAGATATTTGCTTATAAAACTATTCATACTTTGTGTGTTGCTCTTTTGATATAACATTTTATTTACAGCATATTTAATATTCCAGGTTTCCTTTCTCACTAGTTTGGGAGGCAAAGATCAGTCTCTATAACAAACCGAATTTTAAAACACATACTTTCTGACGAGGTCATCAAAAACTAAAATTTCCATGGTCACCGAGATAAAAATCCCTTTAGTATTTTAAAACTTCATTCAACAAGGATAGGTAAGTCTTGCTATCAATTTCACTATTATGTAACGTCGGATAAAATTTATAGGCCCGAGAGCTTTTTAGTCGCCCGAGAGTATAATCATCAGTTTATGCCCGTGGTACATACAAAATTTTATGTCTTACAGATAGTTTCCTTCGTCAAAGTGAATATTCGTTTACAAAACAATTCATAAAGCCTGCTACACACATGCAAGCAAGTCGTACAATTTGGCTTGTCAAGCTAAGTTGACTGAAAAGTCGATTGTGGTTTTGAGCTTCCACGCGCACAGACTTAATTCGCGACTTATGGAACAACAAGTAGGTAGGTGTCTATCTAGTTAGTTTGAACAATGGCTTCGGATGATATACTTATTGCCACAGCAGTTGCACTGTACGTGAAATCAAAATCAAAAAAACGCTCACGCTGGACTAAGCATTGGTTAACAAAAAGACGCAAATATTCTCATACCAACTTATTAGATGAATTGAGACTAGAACCTCGCGATTGGTTAAACTACCTTAGAATGGATACCGGTACTTATGAGGAATTACTGTGTAGTGTTGCTCCATTAATTAGAAAGAAAGACACTGTAATGAGAGCTGCAATTACTCCTCACGAAAGATTAACTGCAACGCTGCGATTTCTAGCAACAGGTCGAACTTTCGAAGACTTGAAGTTTTCCGTAATTATATCACCCCAAGCATTGTCGCAGATAATCCCCGAAACATGCAAAGCAATAATAACCGTTCTAAAAGATAAATACATGAAGGTAAGAAACCACGTAAGAAATATTTTATAATTATTACATAGGAATCAAACACACATTGTTATGGTGCGACATTGCTAAAATAGTTTGCCAGTGCCTCCGAGATTGGCGCCTGGTGTTGGCAGTGATCCGGATATATGCTCGCTTGACTAACTCTATTTTGTGTATGGTGCGTATTTTGGGCTGGGGCTAAAGGAGCAACATAATACCCTTCAGGTGCAGGTAACTCAGCAGGTTGAGACACAATGCGAGAGTTTCGCGTTAGGGTTCCACACTGGGCTTCAAAGATACCATCGTTAATAATTTTTGTAAGATAAATTGCTTGTTGTTTCGGCACCTCCCTGAGTTGCTCAGCAACATGGTGTGCAAAGTTATCAAATTCCCTAATTGGATTTGGTGCTTGCAACTTTTGAGCTACAATATCCAGCACGGCGTCTGCCTTCTTCATTCTTTTTCCTCCATTAGAAGATGGTGCCCTAGATCCTGATCTAGAACGGTGAGCCACTACTGTCGTAGATGATGGAGTTCTTGATCTATCCACAGTAGGGGATAGTGGGTCACTTTCATAATCGGAACGTTGCGTTTCATTTGTCTCTTCATTCGACTGTTGCGTTTCCGCTTCCGGACCAAGTGATTGTGTGTTTTGTTCCTTAAAAAGTATACATTCATTAATTTTTTACTTAATTTCAGCTACCTAAGACAGAAAACGATTGGAAAAAAATAGCAAAAGAATTTAATTCCGAATGGCAGTTTCCCACTTGCATCGGCGCAGTAGATGGGAAACATATCCATATCGTTGCACCAAAAGGAAGTGGCTCCTACTATTTTAATTATAAGAAACGGAACAGTATTGTACTGATGGCAATTAGCAACGCCAACTATGAGTTCATTATGTGTGACATCGGCACTAATGGAAGAGTTTCGGATGGTGGAGTGATACGAAACACTACATTTTATGAACTACTTGTGGCAAATAAATTAAAAATTCCGAAAGTTGGTAACGGTGCTTTGCCGTACGTGTTTGTTGCTGATGAAGCGTTTACTCTTCGCCCGGATATGCTAAATCCTTTCAGTCAAAAACAGTTGAATTACGAGCGTAGAATTTTTAACTACAGGTTAAGTAGGGCCAGAAGAATTATAGAAAACGTTTTCGGAATATTGGTAGCCCGGTTTAGAATTTTCCATACTGACATTAACTTAAAATTAGAAACAACAGAGATTGTTACTTTGTGCTGTTGCATTCTCCACAATTTTTTATGCATCAAGAGTTCAAATCATTATATTCCACCAGAAAGTACCGACCAAGAAGACATTGGCAATGCGACCGTTACACCGGGATTGGCATCTCATGGGGTTTTCGATGAATTACAAAGAACACCAACCAATATTTCCGCAAATGCAAAACAAACGAGACAGCAGTATTTAGAGTATTTCAATGGTGTTGGTGCTGTAGAATGGCAAGACCGTATGATAGTACAACGCGAATAAAACAGATTTCGAAATAATATAAATGTTTATTTACTTACCTCCTGCACATCATCACCCTCATCATCAGAAATTGTACTTCTTGAAGGTTTAGGTTCTTCCTGTTCCAACAAAAACGTAAGTAATTCATAATACCACAAAGTTGGTATATATAATTCATCTGTGCCGACCCCAGATCTCTCAGATGCCAAAACCTTGCGATACTCCTTCCGAAAACACGTCCTCAACGAATTAATTTTCTTCACGGCGCTTTCTTTGGTTGCATTTTTTTCCACTTCTTCAAGTTTTTTTACTAATTTTGCATACGCAGCATTCTTCTTCTGTTTATTACTGTAGTCCTTACTTTTTATTTGCCACAGGCACGGGTTTTCCCGGTACATCTCGATAAATTCCGTTAGGAAATCTCGGGATAGACTTCTTAGATCGGCCATGTTGTTGCAGTGAACGCTCTGTTTTACTCAAGTTCGCCGATTCTGCCGTGTTCGCATACACACGTCTCGACTTGCAGTACGATTTAACTGTACGCAATCGGTTTTGTCCGATTTCACGCATGCCCAACTTCTAGCCCAACTCAAGCTCCGACTTGCTCTACACACACACTTGCAAGTTGTACGATTTGGTCTGTTCAAGCCAAGTTGTACGACTTGCTTGCATGTGTGTAGCAGGCTTTATGTTTGATCAAGTATGAGTGGTTCGAATTTGTTAATGTGATTGAATGAAACTATAGTTACTATTGAAACCATCCAAACGTCAATGCGTCAAACGTTTACTCAATTCATCATGGCTGAAGTTCCAGAAAGTATTCAAAATAAGGCCAATCTTGCAGCGGACCAATTAATTCCACATAAGTCTAAAAGTTTATATAATCTGGAATATTCAAAGTTTGTTAAATGGTTAGCCAACAACGGTACAGGAATTATTAATGAAGTAGTACTCTTAACGTACTTTCAGGAATTGGTGAGTTTAGTATTTTCATTTCTTTTGATTTGTTTAATGGCTGTGTGTTATAGTCTGAAGTGTTTCAACCAACGTCTTTATGGACTAAATTTTCTATGATTAAAAAAACGCTGCTTTTGAACAAAAATGTTAATATTGGAAATTATGCAAAATTGACGCAATTTTTAAAAAACGTCTCCAAAGGTCACGTGCCCAAGAAATCAAGCGTGTTAACGCGCGAGGATATTTTAAAGTTTTTGCGGCAAGCACCTAACCACGAATATTTGTTAGTGAAAGTGGCACTAATATTTGGGATCTACGGCGGATGCAGAAGGCAAGAACTATGCGACATGCTTATTAGTGATGTAGAAGATAGAGGTGAAGTTATTGTGGTTACAATTCCTCAAACAAAAACTGATAAGCAGCGAATATTTTCCATTATTAATGAGACGGAAATGGAAGCCATCCAAACCGTAAAAAAGTATTTAGCACTGCGTCCGCAGCACTGCAACTTGAAGCGGTTGTTTTTAGGCTACAGGAAAGGGCATTGCATTGCTCAACCTGTTGGGAAGAACACGTTTGGGAAAATCCCCTCTACAATTGCAAGTTACTATGTTATACAGGTCATTGCATGCGTAGAAATTCTGCTACGTTACTCGCGGATGCCGGTGCTAGCATGAGTACACTAAAGAGACATGGGGGATGGAAGAGTACAACTGTAGTAGAAGGGTATATTGAAGACAGTTTAACAAGCAAGAACAAGGTAGCTAAGCTAATTGCGGGAGAATCGCTAAATATTATTACAGCGTCAAATCATCTGGCAAATACAAATAGTTTAAACGGTGGCAATGCTATCTTTTCGGGATCTTTCAGTAATTGCACCTTTAATATTAATGAAAAAAAAATAAAAACTGCTATTTTTCAGGACGTATTTAAGTAGTATAGGGGCCACCTGAGCCAGACAATCACATGCCGCGCCAGGCGAAGGTGAGGTTTGCGCGCACGTGTACGAGACGTATAGCTATTTTTAGCTTTTAGTTGGTGAGATTTGGTATCGCTATTTTGGACATCTAACCTCGCGCAGTTTGGCTGTAGGGAATTTTGATGGCTTTTAGGCAGTAGATAGAGGGTCACTTGTGCCAGACAGTCACGTGACGCGCCAGACAGCGAGGTTATCGCGCATGTGCGCTTTAGGTATCTGCGACGTCTTGTTGTCTGACCTTCGGCCAGTTCGAGTGAAGGTATTTTGCTAGTTGGCCAGGGGTGCGAATCATATTTTGGGGGTTGTTTTGGGCGCTTAGAGCAGACACTCAGATTTCCGTGGTTATATTGGAACGCTGTCTCGTTATACCTGGTTTACATGTTTCATGTTAATCGCCTCCATAGTTCATGTATTTTGGCAAGTAGGGGGCTAATCTCGTACGGTGTCAGCGGGGGACATTTTAGGGGTTGTTGCCAGAGCGCGTCGAAATTTGAAGTTGATCCTATTATGGAAATCACCTGCAGAGGAATGCATTTATTTATAGAATATAAAAATGACATTGCATCATCTTCTTGTGACAGCTGTAATAAAATTGCATTTATCCTACTACGTCAATCAGTATCCGCTTGAACGTTAGTGGAGGTGGTTCTTCTGTTTCTTTGTTAACGTCTCCGTACGAGTAGCGTAAAATTACAGATTAGAAGGTGTGCATTGTCTTCCATCAATTGCCTAGCCAATTTTGATTTTCATTGAAATTTAAAGTCTTGTCGAAGTAGTATCGACTTTAATCCAATCACGTGATTATTCGGTTTCTATAAAAGCTCGACGTTTTCACAACTCCAGACAGTTTCATACCAAGCTCAAGTGAGTGACGAATGTTACTTTTACACCTCCCAGCTGCATAAGTGCATTTAGTCGACGATCAAGTGTAGTAACAAATTTATAATTGGCTTACTCTTACTACCCTGAACGGCTGTAATTAAAAATTCAATCAAATCAATTACTATTACGAAAAATTGAACAATCGAGTTATTGCGTCAGTTTTTACAATCTGAAACGTCGCATTCCCTTTAGTACGCAAGTGCAGCTTAACTGCAAGGTGTTGCCGTGTTTTGTTTCAGCTATCGGCGTTCTATTACAAATTATTCTTCGGATCACAGGGCTTATACGGCCTACCTCTAGTTAACTCTTAGTGTGTAAGGAATTACTAAAAATCAATTTCTCACAGTAGCTTATTGCACCTGGAAGTGTTTATGACTAATTAATCAAATCTTATCATTAAGCAAAATTGCATAACGTGTATAAATTATATTGCATCACTTTTTACAACTCTGGGAAACTTCGCATTCCGTTTTAGTTTTAGTACGCATCTACAGCTCAAGGAGCCTGGTTTTGTTAAAAACTGAGATTGCTTGTACCATTCAAAGTATTTGGTAGATCACGGGGGCATATGCATCCTGGTTAATCGTAGTGCGTGTGGAATTATTCAAAACTAAGAAACCTATATCTCGAATAAGCCATACACGTTTTACTTATAAATTATACGAAATTATTCGGCAGTGCCTACGAACACGTGATTTTTCAGTATAAAATCCAATTTGTCAACATTTTCATTCAGTAGTCGATTGAATCCCGCGGGTGAATGACTGACTTGACGATATAATAGGCATTTTACAATACTGATTAATAAATTTACTCATCAAGGAACTCCATCGTGAAAACCCCATTGGTGGGAAATTGCATAATATATCTTTCCCAGAACGAAATACATCTTCACCCATCAAGCGATACCTTATTAGTTTGTTTCTGTTCTTCCGTGTTAAAATTATTTTGGCGTAAGGTACCTAGTATCGGTGAAAAACAAGATCACTTAGGTACACACTCTACCAGAAATAGTCCTCTGCTACATTACTTCCAAAAATAATCTAATTATGCGCAAGTTTGTAATTGAGAGTGAGTTTGAAAAGAACGTCAAACGATTTGGTTTAAAAGGACGATCTATTCAGTTTAGGTTAAAACAAATACCATCACCTAACGAAAATAGCATATTATGGATTAAGAACGCGATCAAGCAAATAATCACGTACCTATGCATGTAATAAGGTTTCCCTGTTGATCTGTTTACCTGTTGATCTGTTTACCTGTTTATCTGTTTACCTGTTTATCTGTTTACCTGTTTATCTGTTTATCAGTGTATACGTTTGATGTTCTGTGTCCCTCGAAATCTATAATCAATCATTAACACAGGTCAATGACGCTCAGTCACCATTAGAGGAATAACCTTCTGTTTACTAAAAAAAAAAGAAGGGCCCCGTTCAATGGAGCTATTTCCATTGTCAATCATTATCCGCCCCGTTCATACGGGCATCCATGAACGCGATGGATCTCAAACCGCATCGAAGTTACTCGGGGTCGGTTCGAGTTTGAGTACGATTCGCATTTGTGGAGTTCGCAATTAGCCTTGGGCTGTGGGTCCAATCGTGTTGGATTTGTGTTCAGGTTACTGGGATCGCATTTAATTAAGCGTGTGCGTTCGGATTTAAAGGTCGAGTATTCCATGACAACTGATCTATTTCCTCGCACAGTTGGGTTTAAACAGAAACACCTCACTTTAAATCAGACGGATGGCCTGTTGCGATACACGCAGAATATAGTTACTATTTAGGTGTGTAGATCAACGAGCGTATGTTCGCCTATTATAGCCAAATTTGATTTAACCTGCTTCGTCGTAAAATTTGGCAATTTTAGTATCGCCCATGAATATCAAACACTCGTTGTAGAGGTTAATTAATCAAGCGTAAAAATGAGTCAATTCGAGGAGATTTTAACCAGTTTGACAGTGAATGTTTTGCATAGGGAATGGAACCCGACTTGTTATGGACTGATTTAACTTATGAACAGGGCATGGTAAACCAGCGGTACGTTTACTACAGGGATGACTGATCCATTCGTCAAGTAAAGGAACGAGCCCTTCGCGTTAGAGACCTTCAATATAGATTACAGTTAGTTACCATCATACCAATCGAGTGAGAAGGCATTAAGCTCGAGATAAATGACCTTCTGTACGTTAAGTGGGTAATTTTTTATGCAATGGAATCGGTAGATTATATTCGCTGAGAGGCTTTGGAAACGATCTTTAAAATCAGCAGCCACGGTAAAAATACTCTAAGGACAAGTATTTCAATAAATGTGTTGAAAAAGGTCTAATGAAGGAGGAACGCATATCGCATTATGAAACAATTCCTGATTTTCCCCCGATTAGAGCCATCGTGTAGTGCTAGTGCTAGTCGTATCAAAAGAACTGCTTCCGTATGACGAGCACAGATCGCGGCATCAAAACGTACCTGCGGTTTTATTTTGAAACTACTTTGAGTACTATTTAACAAGCTATCTAGAATGAAATTACTGTATAAAAATCTTGATTTTTAATGTTTTTATCGTCAAACTCAACCAATCTGTGGGAGCGTAGTATTCGATTGCCGAAAACAGTGTCAGTTAAGAGTATAGTAGGAGTGGATGATGATGACATTAATTTAGTCAAACGATGGAGCGTAGTTCAGTTACAATATCTCGCCTTTCTAGCTCGAGGTAAACATAAATTATCTACATTTTTTATGTAAACAATTGCTCGCCTTGCTTTACACTCTTCCTCGAAACCAATGTATTTGCTACAAGCTGATCTCCCCCTGCCTAATGGGGGACGGACAATGGTCGCCTCCAAACAAAAAGTTTCTGTGCTCAATCCGTCCGAATTTGATTGATATATAGGCGAAATTAGCTCCCATATGTCTTCAAAATATACTGAATCAGCACGTTGGAACTTCAAATAACCCCCTCCGCGCGAAAATTTTTTAGAACAAAAAGTAAATCCTACCATATCTTCAGCCGAAACCTTATTACATGCATACGTGATTATTTGCTTGATCGCGTTCTTAATCCATAATATGCTATTTTCGTTAGGTGATGGTATTTGTTTTAACCTAAACTGAATAGATCGTCCTTTTAAACCAAATCGTTTGACGTTCTTTTCAAACTCACTCTCAATTACAAACTTGCGCATAATTAGATTATTTTTGGAAGTAATGTAGCAGAGGACTATTTCTGGTAGAGTGTGTACCTAAGTGATCTTGTTTTTCACCGATACTAGGTACCTTACGCCAAAATAATTTTAACACGGAAGAACAGAAACAAACTAATAAGGTATCGCTTGATGGGTGAAGATGTATTTCGTTCTGGGAAAGATATATTATGCAATTTCCCACCAATGGGGTTTTCACGATGGAGTTCCTTGATGAGTAAATTTATTAATCAGTATTGTAAAATGCCTATTATATCGTCAAGTCAGTCATTCACCCGCGGGATTCAATCGACTACTGAATGAAAATGTTGACAAATTGGATTTTATACTGAAAAATCACGTGTTCGTAGGCACTGCCGAATAATTTCGTATAATTTATAAGTAAAACGTGTATGGCTTATTCGAGATATAGGTTTCTTAGTTTTGAATAATTCCACACGCACTACGATTAACCAGGATGCATATGCCCCCGTGATCTACCAAATACTTTGAATGGTACAAGCAATCTCAGTTTTTAACAAAACCAGGCTCCTTGAGCTGTAGATGCGTACTAAAACTAAAACGGAATGCGAAGTTTTCCAGAGTTGTAAAAAGTGATGCAATATAATTTATACACGTTATGCAATTTTGCTTAATGATAAGATTTGATTAATTAGTCATAAACACTTCCAGGTGCAATAAGCTACTGTGAGAAATTGATTTTTAGTAATTCCTTACACACTAAGAGTTAACTAGAGGTAGGCCGTATAAGCCC